AGCAGGAATATTCACTGCACAGCACATGGAGGTGAAACTTCTCCACACTATGTAAATGCCATAGAGAAGGTTGTGGATTCCCAACACAGAAATGTCCTATTCCAGATTCATTCAATGTAGACAAAGCTGTGAAAGAAGAATCCACTGAATGGGGTAACATTCTCATGATGTTTTTTTACTGTGCACAAGGAGATACTGGATGCTGCTAGATGTCCCCTTTCTGCCACAATAGGTTGGATTTAAAATGGCCTTCTGTAGGTGAAAAGTGTCTTCTGTTCACAGAACAGCTATTTTTTATTTTGCACTAGGGCGATGCATGAAAAAAGCTACATCTAAAGATATTCTTCCATCAGACCCACTGTTGGATCCATCTTATAGTTTGAGTCGTAACTTTTCCCCAAGTTCTTACACTTATTCTTTCTGCTGTTCATGGAGCCGATCTTCTGTTTTAAAAAAACTTTATATTTTTATTTTAAACTGTACAAAAATATAACAGATATACAAAATCAGTGTATCTAGTAGGTAAGGCACTAACGTCATTGCCAACTGTCGTAACATAGGTGAAAAATGCAAACCATTTCTCTACAAAATAAGATTTTTTGAAGGGTTTTCTGCTTGCAACAGTTGTGATGCTAACTTGTCCATAACTATGATGTCCCATAGTTTTGAGAACCATTGCTTTAGAATTGGGACCTTTTCTGTTTTCCATACTTGTGCTATTAATTGCAGCAATGTTTTTGAAACATATCCCTCAGGGAGGCTAGTATTCTTGATGTAAACTGCTGAAGTCATTTGTTCTATACCATCAGGGGTCATTTCCTGCAGGAGCTCCGGCAGTAAAGAGTCCAGGGGGTGGGCACAGCCCCACCCCCTGCTCCCAGCAGCCCTCAGTCAGAGCAAGAAGCAGCCAGGTAAGTTGCAGAGGACCCCCCCAGCTCCCCTGTCCAAAACAGTCCAGTGGCACCTTTAAGACCAAGTTTTATTCAGGTACAAGCTCTCCCTCCTCTGTGAGGACAGATCTGCACGTCCCCCCGCTCAATAGCTAGCAATCCAAAACAGTCCAGTTTAGCCAGAGCAGTGGGTGTTGCCTTCTGACACACTTCTGGTGATGTCAGGGGGTGTGGCATATGCAAATAAACTATGCTAATGACCCCCTGCACCTCTTTTTCTACGAAATAACCCCTGTATACCATATTGCAGGAAATGATCCAACAAGAGGAAAGAATGAATCCATCAAGAGGAATATTAAATAATAGTCTGCAAAGCCTCTTTGGCTCAGCATGATCATAAAAAGCATTGCTGGAAACAGAAAAGTCTCACTGATGACGGGAGATGAAGTTGTTGGGTATAACACATTTAAGGTTCTTGAGACAGAAATGGATTTGTCAGCAACTGAACTACAGACAACACATTGCCTGATACTGTTGATACTGCGTATCCAAATATCTTCCCCATCCCGAATCTTCCCGCTGCACATGTGATATTTCCCTTAAAAAACACACACTGAGAAGTTCTATTCATGGATTTTCCCAGTGTCACAGGTTGTTTGGCCCTCAGTTTAATGTGGTCCAACACTGGGCTGTAGAGATGAAGAGAATTTGCCATCACAGCCCTAAAAATAACCTTCAGCTCTTTTGTGATACCTCTCTTATACTGTACCTCTGTGTTAAATTTTAACTGTATGCTTCTATCCCACTATTCTGCTAAGACCTGTTCATAACATGGCTTATACAATTGTAACTCCACACAGAGATAACAATACAAGAGAAACACAAATTGAATGTGTATGGCAGTTTCTTCTGGCTCCACAAAGGAGCTGTGGGTTACCTGTAGGGCTGCCCTGCATCAAAGATGAACCACTAGACTAGTCTAATCTGTTGCAAAATCTCAGTAAATCTGGCTCTCATTAGAGCACGATCTAGTGTTAATTTGAGGAAAACAAGCACTAAAAATGCTGTTTAACCACACAGCTGTAAGGCTGAAGGCTTGAGGGTTCAAGAACGACACGAGACACTGATCTGCAGAATCTGTCTGACCCAGACTGACTCAGCAGCGTTTTATTAAAGCTTTCCCCCTTTTTCCTCCCCCGTCCTGTATCTTGAAAAGCTACAAGCGGACTCTGAACTAGAATAACAGGATGTTCTCTGCCCACAACTCACCTTATTTACCCGACTCTAGCCAAGTTTCTTCTCTCAGTGATCTCAGCAGACCTTGTGCACTACTGCCCAGTCTCCCTGTGGGAACACAGACCTCCGGGCATGCCTCCAGAGGTTTGCCGTCCCCACATAAAGCCTTCACTTCTAACCTCTGTAAAACAATTCACACATTTGAAGAAGAGATTGGATTTATACCCCGCCCTTCACTCGGAGTCTCAGAGCAGTTTACAAAATCCTTTCCCTTCCCCTCCCCACAACAGACACCCTGTGAGGTAGGTGGGGCTGAGAGCACTCTGACAGAGACTGCTCTTTTTCAAGGACAGCTGTTATCAGAACTATGGCTTGCCCAAGGTCATCCAGCAGCTACAAGTGGAAGAGTGGGGAATTAAACCCAGTTCTCCCAGATTAGAGTCAACGCACTTAACCACTACACCAAACTGGCTCTACTTTTGAGAGGGTCTACTTTTTTTGTAAGAACTTCTTCCATTTACTTTTGCAAGGGCCAATATACTTGAGTTTACAAATTCTCACTATCACAACCAAAAGGACCTTTAACACACATTCAGGTAACTTCCTCCACATCCAGAAGTAAAATAAGCTTTGTACTGCTGTTGAGAATTGCTGAGACACTACAATAAAAACCATTGTTGAAATTTCTAGGTGCCATGGTGACCTAGGACCTGAGATTTGTCAAGCTCCAACATAAGATACAAGATTGTGTGTGTGGTGTGTGCGTGTTTCATGTTGAAAGGAGTTGCCTTCCCAGGTGATCAGATCTCTACTGATAAAAACTTCCCTCACTCGGAGGGACTTTGGGCATGGTGTCCTTAAAATGTGATGCAGGCCCACCCATGCAGGAGCACGAACTATTGCCCCCCCCAGACAAAGGCAAAGGAGTGGTACAGGAGGAGGCACATCAATTATCCTTCTCTCAGTGCCCATCCGGCAGTTCTTTCATTTGCTAGCTTGATTTGGTGGGGCCTGGTTGGTGGCTGCAGTGACTTGCTATTTTTCTCCTCTGTCTGGAGTCATTGCCCATTCTGGGAGGAGTTCCAGATGGCATGGCGGCCATAGATTATCCCTATACATGCCTGACTGCTGCCACTGAACTTGTCTTAAACAGGCTGCCTCCTCATAAATCCCTCCACAACCAAATAAATTAACTCCAATGAAAGTTGAAGCAAACAGTGAATTCAATTAAACTGTTCTAAATTTATTTTATTTAGAATAGACAAAGATAAAGCAAACTATTTCAAATATTGTTTCTGAAAAACATTCTCTTTTAAATGCATCCCTTATCAAATGCTCAATTTTCAAATATCTACTTCCATCTCAGAGGAAATAAATTGTACACTTTGTACAAACAAAGACCAGGTGTGCATAACAGCTACAGTGAATTCCATATTGGCCACTGTGAACGTAATCTATCAGAATTCTTAGTTTTCTACCTTACTGAACTCCCAGACAGTTCAAACATAATTTTAAAAGTTCTCAAAGGATTAATGTAGTGATTCTCTGTGGGATTCATTCACTTATTTTCACATGCATACAATCTGAAGGAGTCTTTCAAAAAGCCAACCCAAGGATACAAACTATTATGTTAACAATGGCTTTCAAGAATACATATGATCAGATGATATTCTATTTTACCTTCGGTTCATCTTTTAAAAAAGATTTCTCCCAAATCTTAAATGCATCAGCAGCATACGTAACAGTAAAATTGCCCACTGACCATGGTCAGTGTCATAATTTAACAGTTTACTCCCAAATTTTAAAATGCTGAGGAAATCTGTCATGAGTGCACTTTTAACTTTATTACGGGATTGCTTTGAGAGGTTTACAGCCCAATCCACATGCAAGTGAATCTGGAAGTGTTTGATTATCAATGGGATAAAAACCCATTTGAACTCCGTTAACCTTTTTGAATTCAAGCACTACTGGCTAGCAAAAGGTTGTTGAAAAAGTAGGAATTTAGAAAAGTCAAAGCCTACAAATATGCATATTTGTTTCTTTAAAACTTCTATAAATACCTATTTATCTTATGGCTGTAAAATATATTCAAGGTCCGTTGCATTATTAACTTAACAGTCCAGAAAAGAACTAGTTCTCCAACCTAAACAAAGATCTCACTGCATACAAAATGGCAAAGCAGCAAGTGAATTCCCTTCCCCACAACAAATAGGGAAGAGTAAAATATACACAAAGCACTCAACTGGACCAATCCTGAGCAACACACTCTTGAGAGATCTCAGAGACAAGAATCTAAGTGTTCATTAATTTTAGCTTCCAAAACCTGAGAATGACAGACAGGGCAACTAACTTTTCTTGTCTGATCACTTGTAGAAGTAGCAGAGTATTCACAGGATGTAGATTCATCTTTGTTCTTCATAGACAGGCTAGTCTGCCCTGGACTTGATTTCTTTATGAAGTAATTTGCAAAGGCACTTTTGTCTTCCATTTTTGCCTGTTTTTGTGGCACTCCATAGGCATGCATGCTGCTATTTCCTTGAAAAGTGGTCTGACATCCTGGAGTCGATACAGTTGGTTCAGGAAGGGTTCTTTTTTGTGTCTCCTTAAGAGGTGGAGAAATGTACTTTGCATTTGCTGAGAATAAACCTGCTTTTCCTACATTAAAAGAATTTTTCCTGATAGGTGAGCCATTAACATTAGTATATGCTTTTGTATTAGCAACTGATACTTTAGGAAGTGTAATGGTGGAAGCATAGCTACTTTTGCCACTGCAAGGAAGTGTGCAGCAAGTGTCTGTGCAGGAAACACTCGGTTCAACTTCTGTTTCTTTCTTAGGATTTAGTCCTTTGAAGCCAAATGATGAATTTTGCTGTGAACTGAGCAGCTCCCTGTACTTACTGCTGTCTGGACTTGTGGTTTTCTCTAATGACGATCCTCCACTTCTTACTCCAAGCACAAATCCTTTTCCACTAAAAGGAATTATGCTTTGTTTACCACCTCCATGAGCTCTTCCTGCAAACACATTAGAAGTAAGTACTATTCAGCTATCCCACTAAAGCAGCACAGATAAATTAATTTATGCTGACCAGAGTCCCACACAGAAAAAATAAACAATGTATGGTTCTTCAATGCAAGGTACTATCCAGGCAATAATACAAGAATTAAAAAAAACAAAACAAACAGGTAACAGATAGATTAAGATTCTTCTTTTACCTGTTGGGTGTGAGAGTAGGAAGAAGCCCAGGCTGGTGACTTTCAGATCAGTTGAGCACCCCAAAATGGATGCATTTGCTTGTTATGGAATGGACAATTCAATGCCGAGAAAAGCTCCCTGATCCTCTGCCTCATTGCATGTGAACGTCAGAGACTGGATCCCCAGTGTTCTCTCTAAACTGAGTTAGTGTGAGCTAGCTCACAGTTTTTTAGCCTCCGGCTCACACATTTTTGTCGCAGCACGGGAAGGAGGGCTCCAGAGCAAACTAATGTATGCAGTAGCCAAATCTCTCGCTCACAACTTTAATGCTGGTAGCTCACAGAGTAGAATTTTTGCTCATAAGACTCCACAGCTTAGAGGGAGCATTGATCCCATCTAAAATTTTCATAGGATTTTTGCTGATTTTCCCATTCCACAGCAGCCAAAAAGGCTTCCTGAAATGCTGCTCCTGAGGAACCTCCAGGAATAGCTTGTGGGTGAATCAAATCTCCTGAGGGAAGGTGGCTTGCCAAAAGCCATTCCACTTTGCACCTGTGGAAATTGTAGATGGGACCCAAGCCCACAAGTACAAGCAACTAGAGTATTCTGCTTGAGTATTCAAGTATTCTGCCAACATTAACCACATACACATTTCTGAGACTTGCATGATAGCAGTTAAGTCTTTACAGCAACCATGCACTACTCTGGCAGAGAAATATTAGTTATGCAACCAAATCAGTTACATCCAAGGTGTTATCCAGCCTTTCCATGAAACATGATTACATTTATTTCAATTTTTTTTGGTTACCAAAATCAATTGTCAATCCTGAAAAAAGTCACAAAGACTTGTTTCCTATTTCATGTATACACTGTAACAACTGCTAAGACGTATGTAATTAAAACAGGTACCTTTGTCATCTTCTGGAAGTTTTCCTTGGTTTTTCTCTGTGCCTTTCTTGGAGTAGTTCTCCGGCTCTTTGATTTTAGTGAATGTCCCCCCACAGGTCTGTTGGTGTTCAGACCACCAGAAGTCATTTGCAGATGGTGCCCTGTTCATTGCACGCTTCACATATCCGAAATATGGTTTTCTACTTTGACAGGGACCATTACATCGCCACCAATGCTGACGATAAGAATCCACCTCATCATGAAACTCATGATAGATCTAAGAGTAAAGGAAAGGAAGGGACCTTAATACAGAACACTCACCTCCATTTTATATTAACTAAAGGCAAACCCACGCTGATCCATAGGCTCCAATGCACACACATGTACAGTACATATGGCTGCCATTCCTGCAAGGGCACAGCTGTTCAAAGGCAACAGTTCTACATGGGCTTTCCACCCCGGAAATAACTATTTCCTATTAGGATTTTTGTACGATTTTTCTCTTCAACCATTTTTGTTTTCTGGAGCATCTTCTCGTGTCAGAACTCTAAGATGCAGTAGTTTAAAATGCACCAATTCTGCATTTCCTTGATTTGCAGTAATCACAGCCTGTCTCCAAACCAGAATCAAAATCCCACCCTAAGCCAAGATTTCAAATTTTGATTTAGAGGCAATCTGTGCTTAGTGGCAATCTTTGTTTACCCTATTTGTATAGACTAGGAAGTGGAAGAAGGAATTTGCATGTGTGTAAGAACGGAGTGTCTGATCACAGCATATTCCTGATCTTGACATCTCAACTGGCCCAGGCTACAGACATCAAGCTCCTCTGTGCTGACCTAAAAGCTCTGGATTTCAGCCATTAAGTGCAGATCACACCCCATTAAAACGAATAGGAATTTAGCAATTAGCTTAGTAGATATGGATTATAGTCACTACTTTTACAATGTAAAAGTTACTGTGGTTAGATAACTTCCTACCCACCCCCCAAACTTACTTCTTTGCAATGTATGTATTTTAAGAATTACACATTTATTCTAATACCTTTTACATCCTGAAGCCACGTCCAGTGACAACAGTAAACAAAAAGAGAGATGCCAAAAGGTACAATTTAAATGACAATTACAAGGTAATTAATGAATTCAATTAAGGGGACTTAAACTGATTTTCTTTGAAGTGGTACACTTATAGATAGGACTGCAGATGGGATCTCACATGATCAATGATCCTCCATACAAAACACTCCCTCATTATCAAAGATTCAGAATGAGGAGGCTACATTTATACATAAGATATTTTTGTATACAGGGACATTCAATCCTGTGAACCCCCCACCTATGTTTGACAATGATACTGCCCCAGCTCTCTCATGGCTAAGCTAGAACTTGTTGAAACAGCCCTTAAATGTATTTATTTCCTTCATTTACGCCCTGCCTGTCTCCCCAATAGGGACTCAAAGTGGCTTTACGTAATTCTCCTCTCCTCCCATTTTATCCTCACAACAGCTCTGTGCCTGAAGTACCAGAAATCTGAAAGCCACTAGACATAAGACAAACGCTTACCGTAATATTGGCACCAGTTAAGTGATTGATCCGATGCATGTGTTTGCAGAACTCTGGGCCATGGGAATCATGATCTTTGTTATTGTGAGTGACAAACAACAAGGCATGAATCATTTCATGCAAGAGGGTCTGAAATTGAAATAATTACAGGATTAATGTTTTCCTGCTAACAAGCGACTTCTGAGTAGCTTGGCTGCCACACTCAGGAATATATGCAGTCAATTTTTTAAAAAAAATCAGCATCTTTGTGTTTATTGTCTATTCTGTATCTCAAAAGATTCCACATATGTAGTCATCCTGTCATTGATTCTGGCCCCTCCCTGCCCCCAACTTCATCATTCCCAAGTTCTCTGCAAAGTATTTCTCACTCTTCCCAAACCTCTCTCGCGTCTGGAATGAACTCGTAGAGATTTCTTTAACTGTGGTACTACAGAAAGAATAGGGTATTTTCTATGGATGTTAAAGTGAATACACACCAAGCTGCTCATATAAAACGGCTGGACATCATAATTACACTCAACAGCACTTTTTTAAAGTGATAGCCATTTATTTATTCGATTTATACCCCACCCTACCGAAGCAGGCTATCACTCTGAAACATACACTCCAAAATACTCTTTTGTTGCTTATTAGTTTGATTGTGCACAAGTTAACAGCAAAATTTACATGTTTTGGTCTGTGTTTATCTACAGCCTCATCTTACAATACCTCTACAAGATCTTTCCTTGGCCGTAACTTTAAGAGTGGCTCACTGAGTCGGATGGAGCACATTCCACCTCGCCCTTCGTAACAGCAAAGCCCAGCACACCTACAGAATGCAGCACAAAGGAAACTTGTTTACCACTGTAGCTTATGAGACACAAAATAATTACTCGGTAAATACTAGCTATTTCTCCCATTGGCTGGATTAGAGTCTTCTTAGAAGGCAAGCAACCAAGAACTTGCTCTCTTGCCACCATTTGGCATAGAATGCTCAGTTTATGATTATTGCCAACACACTTTCATAGCCTGTTTGATAGCATCACACCAGCTTTTAATACGCAGTATTATATATTACAAACAGTTACAACGGTGTAACTGAACCTTTCATAATACTCAGGTGAATAATGTGAAATAATGTGGCAAAGCTATGAGGCACCATACCAGCTTGTAAACAAGTATCAGGAAGCCATGATGTCATACAAAGATAGGAGAGCCAGTTTATGAACTAGGTGTGTGCATATAAACAAAGTTAGACTTGATACGCGTAGAGCTTATACCTCCATATTTCTCATCCAGAACTCAACTGACTGGATTTGTGATCATTCTCTCATACAATCTAAACAAGCCACATAATAGCTATATAATTATATTCAATGAGTGAGATATGACACAGTATCTTTTCAGAAGCATTTGCATATCTGGAAGTTTCTGGCAACACTTACTCAGCTACAGCTAGAATCAGGGTTTTTTTTAATATTTTCAAAAATACATCTATAATAACTACTCGCACATTTTTTCTGTTCCCCCTTTCCATATGAACTTTTCCCATATCAGAGCCTTTGAGGATATATTTCCAGAAGTAATTAGAAACATTTCAGGAATGTTGTACCAGCTTTCTGCATACAGCTACAGCAGTTTGTGGCCTGTAGTTTTACCTACATATGATATGCTGTAAATCTTCTAAGACCTTCTATACACGTAAATACAAGTGCCATAGTCCTGAAGTGTACACACAGCCAAGTGTCATGATAAAATAGGCTGTACCACTTCATACTGGAGGCACAGGGAACTAATTTTGTGCTCCAGAAATTATGAGTTCTTTCACAGATAGGTACTAAGTTGTCTATGCATCTACTATAAAGACCCAATAGATGTTTGACTTTGAATCACTTCCAACTGTAAAAATAAAGAAAATCTATGCAAGATCCCTCTCCACCATACCTAACATAGTTAGCAACATTTCCATCCCTGATTTCAGTTAAAACTGGGCTTCCAAAGGGACCCACAGTAACCAGACCTACAAACTACAATGCAAATCAAATGCAGAGAGACTCAGATTCAGTGGGTTGGAGCCTGGTCACTCCCCGCCTGCCCTCGGGCGGCGTCACCCATGGCGGGTGGAAGACGGTATTAGTGAAACTCCAACTGGAGGCAGCCCAGTATCTGTGCACTAACAGTAACTTTGACCAGTGTAGAGTAGTGGTTAAAGTGTCAGCCGAGAGACTCAGATGCCCTCGGACAGGCGTCACCCATGGCGGGTGGAAGATGGTAGTAGGGAAACTCCGACTGGAGGCAGCCCAGTATCTGAGCTCTAACAGTAACTTTGGCCAGTGTAGAGTAGTGGTTAAAGTGTCAGACTAGATCCGGAAGATCCAGGTTTGAATCCCCACTCAGCCATGGGAAACTGCTGGGCGACCTGGGGCCAGTCACAAAGTCCCAGCCTACCCTACCTCACAGGGTTGCCGTGACGATAAAAACGAAAGAAAGGAGAATGATGTCAGCCGCTTTCAGACCTCACTGGGGAGAGAGGCGGGATATATAATAAATAAAGTAAATAAGGAAACGAAAAAAAGTTTCCTCGAGCGAGAGGAAGCCTCAGTCGCGGTCACTGTCCGCGCAATCGAGAATAAGCACGAAAAGGCGGAGGAGCCCCTCCGCACAAAAGCGCGCCACACAGACGACCAACGCTCAATCCCAGCCGCCGGCCGGAAGACGAGGGCGGAGGGGAGCCCCCCCCCCCCCCGGAGACCCGGTGCCCCAGGAGAAGGAGGGGGGGGCACAGGGAGGGCGGAAGGGACCTCTTCAGTGCTGCCCTTTACCGTACAGCGTCATGCGCGGGCTCCACTTCACTTCCACGGCGGCCAGGCGCCCCCAGAAAAGGGTCTCGTTGAACTGCATGAAGAGAGCCCGGACATCCGGGCTGGGGTCCAGCAGCTCCCAGGCTTTGTCCACCACTGAAAGCGGCCGCGGTGAAGAAGGGGCCGGCCTGGTGTTTGCTGCTGCTGCCACCACCGGAACCTGATCGCCATCCTCCGCCTCCCACTCTGCCTGTAGCCGCAGCGCCAGCAAGAAGTCGTCGTCCATCGCTCTCAAGGAAGGGTCTGAAGGGGCGGCGACTACAACCTGCAAGCCTATCAAATTCTCGCGCACGCGCTGCAGGCTGCAAGCGCGCATGTGCTCTACGCTGGCTGTTTACTTTCTCTTCCCGCCCATCCGTCATTGGTCCCTGCGTACATCCCTAAACTATGAATTCTACGCGCATCCCGTTAAAGCGGAAGAACTTTACGTCATTGGTGTTGAAAGAAAACATATGCCTTACGTACGATGAGCTAAAGCCGGCAGCTTCGCCCTCCTTTACGTTCCACTTTGACCAATCAGGCTCCCGCGCTGTCCGAACAGCCGAGCCTGTCTAGCGCAGGCGCGTTCTTGGCGCAAGCGCAGTAGTGGTGTTTTAGTTAGGCTGGTGTCCCGCTGCGACTCTCGGCCTCTTCTGGTTCCGGCTCGAACATGGCGCTGTCTCTGGGCGAAGTGGCTGCGGTGGGCGGTAGCCGGCTGAGGAGGCAGCTGGAGTCGGGGAGCTACGCGGCCGACGAGTACGTGAAGGTCCTTTCCCAGCAATCGGACGGCGACCGGGACCTGCAGGAGCACCGGCAGCGCATCCAAGCGCTGAGCGAGGAGACCGCGCAGAGCCTCAAGCGCAACGTCTACCAGAACTACCGGCAGTTCATCGAAACAGCCCGCGAGATCAGCTACCTGGAGAGTGAGATGTACCAGCTCAGCCACATCCTCACCGAGCAGAAGGGCATCATGGAAGCCGTCACCCAGGCCCTGCTGCAGCAGGCCAGCGCCACCGACCGCGATGACCCCGCTCTGGGGGGCGCCCGGCGAGCGGCCGCCGACCCCCACGCCAACCCTTTCCTGCCCCTCTCGGCCAAAGATTCCGCCGCTAATGAGGAGGGCCGGCAGCGGACTCTCACTACCCTCCTGGAGAAGGTGGAGGGCTGTCGGGACCTGCTCCCTGAGAGTCCCGGCAAGTACCTCGTCTACAATGGCGACCTTGTGGAGTATGATGCGGATCACATGGTTCAGATCCAAAGAGTGCATGCTTTCCTGATGAACGACTGCCTTCTGGTAGCTGCCTGGCTGCCCAACCGGCGTGGGACTTACCGTTATGATGCCCTGTACCCACTTGATGGTCTGGCTGTGGTCAATGTTAAGGACAATCCACCTATGAAGGACATGTTCAAATTGCTTATGTTCCCTGAAAGCCGCATCTTCCAAGCTGAGAATGCCAAGATCAAGAAAGAGTGGCTGGAAGTGTTAGAGGAGACCAAGAGGAATCGTGTCCTCAGTGAGAAGCGGAGGCTGGAAGAGGAGGCCCCTGCACGGGCTCCTCCCCCAGCGCCACCAGAGACCACCAATCCTTTTGAGGAGGATGAGGAAGAGGAGTCAACTCCAGAAGAAGAAATAGTGGATCTGTCTCTGGAATGGATTCAGGAGTTGCCTGAGGACCTAGATGTCTGCATTGCTCAGAGAGACTTTGAAGGAGCAGTTGATTTGTTGGATAAGCTGAATGAGTATCTGGGAGATAAGCCAGTGACACAGCTAGTCAGGGAGTTAAGAGCCAAGGTGGATGAAAGAATCCGGCAGCTCACTGATGTGCTTGTGTTTGAGCTGTCTCCAGATCGGTCTCTACGAGGTGGACCCAGAGCTACCCGGCGAGCTGTTTCTCAGCTCATCCGCTTGGGTCAGTCAACCAAGGCATGTGAACTTTTCTTGAGGAACAGAGAAGCTGCTGTACACACAGCCATCCGACAGTTACGCATCGAAGGTGCCACTCTGCTGTACATTCATAAGCTCTGCCATGTCTTCTTTACCAGCCTCTTGGAAACTGCAAGAGAGTTTGAGACAGACTTTGCTGGCAACAGTGGGTGCTATTCTGCTTTTGTTGTTTGGGCCCGATCTGCTATGAGGATGTTTGTAGATGCCTTCAGTAAGCAAGTATTTGACAGTAAGGAAAGCTTATCAACTGCTGCTGAGTGTGTAAAGGTAAGAGGAATCTAGGAGGTCAGAGGGGAAAAAGAAAAAGGTGCTACATCTGTATGTCAAACACATCCGCCAGGCTCTTCTGTAGAATATAATCAAACATGAAGAAAAGGAAATCAGTTAACTATTTAGTTTATTTTCATGTTCTGCGATAGGATATTCTGCATATAAATAAATAGTGTGGGGTGGGTGGGTGGGTCCTTCACTCGTCCCTAGCTCCACTTGCCCCACCACTCCATGGATGAAGAAAATAGCTAGCTCAGTGTTCCTGACTAGTGAAAGAAGCACATGTGAAGTTGCCTTATAATTAGACCCTTGATCCATCAAGGGCAGTACTGTCTACTGAGGCTGGCAGTGGTTCTCGAGGGTCTCAGGTAGAGGAGTTGCACATCATCTACTGCCTGGTCCTTTTAACTGGAGATGCCAGTAATTGGACCAGGGACCTTCTGTATGCATAGCAGAGGCTCTTCCGCTGAGCCATGGCACCTACCCAAAGAGGTGGAAAGAAGGTAGTCTTATCGTCTTTGTTGTCTAAATTAAGAACCCCAAGATCTGGTTAGGTGATCACCACTTCTCCCAAACAGAAAAGCAGCACTCTCCTAGGAAGATGATCTAGCACTTATCCTGAGCAGCATAACTATTAGGGGAAACTTCCCCCCCACACACTAGCCTTTGGGGGTCAGGGTGTGATTCTTTTGGCAGTCACCTACTTTGATCTTTGCTGCTGTTCAGGCCCACACCATCATATCTGTGCTGTCTAGAAGCAAGGACAGGAAGTGGGGGGAGTCTAGGCCTGTGTAGGATTGTGGATGGGGAGTGGTTGCTGAATTGTTTCCTGTGCTGCTTCTTGTCTTTGTCAGCTACAGCCCAGCAGGATATGTGGCAGCAGTTGCAGCAGGGATCTGATAAAATCAACACTTCTGGGAGGAAGCAACTGCCATAATAGATCTTATGCTGCCGCTGGGAGAAGGCACTCCTGTTGACATTGCACAGTGCAGTGGAATCTAGGCGGGGGGTGGGTGGGTTGTGTGTGTGTTTTGGTAGGTATTTTTGTTCCTGGCCAGCATGACAGCAGTGATGGAAATAATGGATGAATTGAACCCATTTATTCCTTTCCAAGTGGTATTCATTGTCAGGTTTTCTAGTCACAAAGAGTGTGGTCCTCCATCTTAAGTAAATTGTGCACTGATTTTTAATGGGACTTAATCACTGCTAACTCTATTTGGCTTAGAGCCTGTCCTTTAATGCTAGGAGGAAAGAGTGAGACTGCATGCAGAAATATATGCAGCAACCATTTCGCTGTGAATGTTAAATACTTCCCTCTCCCATGCTCTTTTTTTTTGGGGGGGGGGGCGCCTCTAACTACAAGTTTGCCATTGGGAGCTTTCCTGGATGTAATTCCTAGAACTGGGCCAGAAAATGTGGCAGATTGCAAGGTTTATTGTACAATATCTTTGATGGATGACTGCTGTCTAGGCTTTTTTAAAAAATCCAAAGTGTGTGTCATGCCTTCACTAAGCAGTGAAGGGTATAGGAGGGAAATGGAAACTGCTGATATAGCTCTAGGTATTTACAAGATTATCTGCACAGCCACTCACTTTATAAAGAACTAAAAACTGACAGCTTTTTAAAAAACATCTTACTTAATGTATCGTTCTTCCTGCAATTCATAGTGGGATGAATAGTTATTAATCTTTTAGAGTGTTGCAATGCCTTTCTTTTGTGTAACCTGCTAAAGATGTTGTGTAGTTAATAGTCTCATTTGCTGTTGTAGGTGGCAAAGGAGCACTGCAAGCAGCTCAGTGAGATTGGTCTGGATCTGACCTTCATCATTCATGCCTTGCTAGTGAAGGATATCAAAGGTGCTTTGCAGAGCTACAAGGATATCATCATTGAGGCCACAAAGCACCGTAACTCTGAGGAGATGTGGCGAAGAATGAACCTGATGACCCCAGAAGCTTTAGGGAAGCTCAGAGAGGAAATGAGGAGCTGTGGCGTGACCAGTTTTGACCAGTACACTGGTGATGACTGTTGGGTGAATCTTAGCTACACTGTGGTGGCCTTCACCAAACAGACCATGGCCTTCTTGGAGGAAGCACTCAAACTATACTTCCCAGAGCTGCACATGGTTCTGCTGGAAAGCCTAGTGGAGATAATCCTGGTAGCTGTCCAGCATGTTGATTATAGTTTACGGTGTGAACAGGACCCTGAGAAGAAAGCATTCATCAGGCAGAATGCATCTTTCCTTTATGAAACTGTCCTTCCTGTAGTGGAGAAGAGGTTTGAAGAAGGAGTTGGAAAGCCAGCTAAGCAACTGCAAGATCTGAGGAATGCTTCAAGACTGATGCGTATTAATCCTGAAAGTACTACCTCTGTGGTCTGAAGTTTAATGCCTTCCTTGGATCTTTTCTTACAAAAGATTGTGTATATACCTAATATATGTTTATATACATGTATGTGTATAATCTTTTTTCCCCTTCAAATTTCTGACCACACCACCATCCCTTTAGCTAATTATGCCTTGCAAATAAATTAGAAGGCAAAGAAAAAGGGAGGGGATAATAAAACTAGGAATGCAGTTGGATAAACAACATGTAGCCCATTTCCTCTGATGGTCTTCTTGTGAAATTTTAAATTAAGGAAGTCACCTAGTGACCTAATGTATTATGATCCAATGGTGAATGACAGGCTTAAACATAATGAGTATGATAAAGCATAACCTCTAACAAGTATTAGCTGGTTCTCCAAGAGTACAAATGATGGGGTGTGCACAACAGTTCTATTATTGGATTCCTGAACAAGAAGTAGTTTCTCAGAAAGCAAAAATAATGAGCATAATTCTGTCTCTGGTGTCTTGAGAGAAGGTTGTAAAGGGTAGAATTCACTGTTCCAGTGATTTTACAGATCCTTAGCTAAGATTCAGATTGCTAAGGATGTAATGGACTGCATGTATGTTTTCTGTCTGATTGGAGGCAGAGGAGTGTGATGACTGCAAAGAAGAGACTACCAAAGGAGCAATGTGCACAAGGAAACTTTGCCAAAAGCTTCAGAGGGAGTTGTGGCTGTTCATATTATTTCCCGCCATGCACACAAACCACCTTTAAACAGAAACCAGTGATATGAATTGAAGGGTGGGTATATAACCTGCCCAAATTTTCTATTTGCTTACATTATCAGTAGGAATTATAACTCGGGAACACAGATGAAACAGAGTTTTACATATTGCTGAATCAGC